AGCTCATCCAGGCCTGCCGACTTAAAGGCATCCAGTTCCTCCAAGTGCCTCTGCACCATCTCAGGGTCTACACTTGGTAGTCTGGTGCCTTGCTGCTGCCTCTCTACAATCCCAGTGAGAGACTCATCTTGCCCCTCGCTTAGGAACACTGAGGCAAAGAACTCATTGAGGAGTTCAGCCTTGTCCCCCCTGTCTGTCACCAATTGTTTCTGCCCATCTAGTAGGGGTCCTATTTCACCCTGGGCCTTCCTTTTACTCCCTATATATCTAAAAAACAAATTTTTGTTATCCTTAACTTGGGATGCCATCCTCAGCTCCATGGTAGCTTTGGCCTGTCTAACTGCCTCCCTACAAGCGCGAGCAGAAGAGGTATACTCCTCTTTAGTAGTCTCTCCCCATTTCCACGTTTTATATGCCCCCCTTTTTGCCCGTAGGCTGCTCTGGGTTTCTCTAGTCACCCAAGGAAGCCTCTTGGCCCCTTTCCCCCTTTTTCCCCGCATTGGGATCGTCTCCCTCTGTGCCCGAAGGATCATTTCCTTAAGGCACAGCCACCCTTCCTGGGCTCCCATCTCTTCAAAATTCTTACTCTGCAGTGCGTCCTTGACTAAACACCTGAGTTCATTGAAATCAGCTTTCCTAAAGTCTAGCACTTTCACCCTACTAGCTACCTTACCCACTCGATGCAGGATCACGGATATACCTCCATGATCCTGCAAGCCATGGCGGACCATCGGGGCTGATTCACAAACATTTTTACAGGGTGGGCCGGCATCGCGCATGATGCTTGGGTGTTCTGAAACTCCCCTCTGGTTGACATTGTGGTGAAAGGACACTACGCACCCAGCATGGAGGAGAGAGTGATCTGTGGTGTTGCTGTTTCCCCTGTCATACTAGCAGCAGCTACCTACCCTCTAAAGCTCTGGTTCATGAAGCCTTATGGAGGGAATGTCACGAACCCGCAGAAGCTGGTTTTTAACTACCACTTCAGCAGTTGCAGGATGGCGGTGGAATGTGTGTTTGGACGACTGAAAGGACGATGGAGGGCGCTTATACACCGGCTCGACAGGGACAAAGAAAATCTAATGCCCTTTATTGTGGTGGCCAGCATGCTGCACAATATTTGCGAGAGCCGAAGAGAGGTTTTCAAAGACTCATGGGA